CCGAACCCCCATGCTGGTCTACATCGAGATCCTGGGCAGGTACCCCCCACGCTCTCCTGGACCCTCCTGGCCCAGCTGGTACCACCGCCTCCCAGTATTGCCCCAGTGCTGGTCTACATGGAGATCCTGGGCAGCTGCTGCCCCACCTGCTCTCCCCGCCCCGCAGCATCGCCTGGCTTCAACCTGCTCCCAGTACTGCCCCTTGTGAATCTGACCTGCCACTTACCCCTTCCTGCCCTTGTACCATCTCTCCTCTCACCTTGTTCTCTCCTCTTCCAGAGAAACTTTCCCCATTCTTCAAATCTGCTTCCCCTCCTCTCCCCTCCCCGCCCCACCCATACTGACCCCCAAGTGTTTCCCTAAGTATGTGTCATTTGATTGGCTGCATAGAAACCCCTGCTGCTGTGTTTGTGTGTATCACTCTTGGGTCAGGTGCTCTCTAGTAAGGATGTAAAATCCACTTAATTAGTTAACCAGTTGAATGTTAAGGGGAGCTAGTTATCTGATTAAACAGTGGTAGGGGAATTTCCATCCACTAGTCCTTAGGCACTTCCGCATTTCTCCTTTGAAATGGACAAAAGCCCCAGTGGGGACTCTTGTGCATTTCAAAGTTGGAACTCTGCATGCAGCCGAGGGCCAGCAGGACTTCCCCTTGGTCCCAAGTGTGCCAGCTTTGGAATGTACAAGAGTCCTCAGCTGACCACGGGATCCATGTGGCGCTGCCCCTTTGAAATGCCTCGACGCTGCCACTTTAAAGTGCCCCCTCTTCCCTTCCCCTTTGCTGCTGCTTCTATCTGATAGAGGCAGCAAGCGGAGGAGTGACTAGTCGACTCGACTGTCTGATTAGCATTTGCTTATTGGATAGTTGACGACTGCTCAACGTTTCCCTCTACTCTCTTCTAGTCAGTCCCTGGCAAGGAACGTTTCAGTTGCGCCGCCGTGCGCGCTCGTGCTCATGTATGTCAAAATCCTGGGTGGCCATTGAACCGTCTAGCCCGGGGTGGGCAATAACTTTAATGAGGGTCGCGGGTCGCTCTGGAAGGGGAGGCCCTTTAAATAGCAGGAGGCGAAAGGGCTCGCAGCTCCCAGGACTTGTGAGCCCTTTCAACTGCTTCTATTTAAAGAGCTCGCAGCTTCCCTGTGGCTGCAGACAACGCGTTGCCTGCCAGGATAGGGAAGGTGCAAGCCCTTTAAATAGAAGCAGTTGAAAGGACTCCTGCATCTCCAATTCCCAAGCAACGCGCTAGGAGGTGGGGCCTGGAACTGCTGTGCGGGCCTGATTCAGCCTGCCAAGAGGCTTTTGTCCACCCCGATCTAAACTGTTGTCTGCCTGGAGGAAACCTGTCCCTGCCCTAGTCTGTCTAGAGATGTCTCTCACCCCTAGCAGAGAGCCATGGGAGGGGCCTGTCTCCTATGCTGCTGCTCAGGTGAGCAGAGGTGTGTGTTCTGGCAGGAGGAGAGATTGCTGATAGGAAGGAGGGGAGCCAGTGCCTTGAAGAAAGGGGCTTGCGGATTTCTGTGGTGGTTTCTGCCCCCCATCCACACTGACTGGCTTTTCCAAAAGCTACCTCTGGTTCTTGTCCTGTAGGCATCCCTTTTCAGGCCGGGAGGTGCCCATCTCCAATGGCTCTGGCTTTGTGGTGTCCCCAGATGGTCTCATCGTGACTAATGCCCACGTTGTGGCGAATCGGCGGCGGGTGCGGGTGAAGCTGGCTAGCGGGGAGCTCTACGATGCCGTGGTCCGTGAAGTCGACCAGGTGGCAGATATTGCCACCATCAAAATCAACCCCAAGGTGTGTGGGGGCCAGGAACGTTTCACGGGACTAGCCCCTGCATTGGCTGCCTGCAGGTCTCTTGATAGAGCTGTGCTGACCCATGCTTTCTCTTCCCCCCAGCAACCTCTGCCCACGCTGCCCCTGGGCCGCTCCGCAGAGGTGCGGCAAGGAGAGTTTGTGGTGGCTATGGGCAGCCCTTTTGCTCTGCAGAACACCATCACCTCCGGCATTGTCAGCTCTGCTCAGCGAGGCAGCCAGGAGCTGGGCCTGGCCGATTCCAACATGGAGTACATCCAGACCGACGCTGCCATAGATGTAAGGGGAGTGTGGGGCGGGGGAGGGCAGTGGGGGCACTGGCTGAACCCCACAGTTTGTGCATTTAGAAGAATTTTGCTGCTAGTTGGGGTGGGAGCTGGGGAAGGGGTCTGCATGAGGGGAGTGTTCAGGCTGTCCCTTGTAGGAAGAGCAGGGAAGCAGGGGATCTGGATTCTGCCCCAGGGCCATTGGTTGTGTTTGCTGCCTGTGTAAGCCAGAGGCACTGAGAGGGAGCCTGAGTCTGCACAGCAAAGGCTTCAGTCTCCCGCTCAGTGCCTCTGGCTTACGCTGACCACCCTGGTTCTCAGGTTTTGTCTCTGCTGCTGCTGTGGCTTAACTCTGCCCCTTTCTCTCCTGCTGCAGTTCGGGAACTCGGGGGGGCCCCTCGTCAATCTGGTAAGTCCTGCTGTTTGGGTGTCTTCCCTTTTTGGGGGGAACACAGTGCCCCTTTGGGCTGCGTGCTCCAGCCCTGGCTAACTGGCTGTGTGGAAGTCGGGATGCCCACCTCTTGCTGCCAGCAGGGAGTATAGAGATGTCTATTCATCTCCCAGGCTCTGCTCTGGCGTGACCGAGGTAACAGCACTGGGGTCTGCACTGCTGCCTGACCCATCCCAAGCCAAGTTGGTGTTGGGTGCAAACTGGTGGAAGCCTGAATAGGCTGGGCTTGAGCCCTTCCTGACACCATGTCCCTCCTCTCCTTGCATGGGGCAGATTGTGGGGCATGGGGGGCTGCAGTGTGACAGGCTGATGCCCTTCTTGGCTTGCATGGCAACTCTCTTCCGGCAGGACGGCGAGGTGATTGGGGTGAACACAATGAAGGTGACGTCAGGTATCTCCTTCGCCATCCCCTCAGACCGGCTGCGGGAATTCTTGCAGAAGGGGGAGCAGCGCAAGAGTGAGTGAACTGGGAAGGGAGGGGGAGGATACAGGCAGAAAGAATGGAGCAGAGCTGGGGAAGAGGGGGAGGAGCACCCACTTCAGACTTCTTGCTGGTGCTGTCATAGTCCTCTGTCCCTGCCAGGGGAACTGGGCCTCAGCCTCCTCCCAGCACATCAGAGTCCAAGGAAAACCTGGTCCACTGTGCGGTCATTCCGTGGACTGTCTTCAGTTCCCTTCCACTGCAGGCTGGTTCCCCCTTTTCAGCGATGGGAGGGGGCAGCAAGGATAGAGGCAGGCAGAGGTGTCTGAGCACAGCTGAACTCTGGAGAAGGGATCTCTGGGGCCCATCTGTTTTCAGAGGGAAGGCAGTGCAGTTCTGCTATTTAGGCTTTAGCAGCTGGGACTCTAATGGCAAAGGAGCCAGGTCTCATGGTCTGTCTGCCTGGGGACCTGTACAGAGTGAATCGTGGGATAAGAGGGAAGATCCTCTCGGGGATCAGTAACTGGTAAAAAAAATAGAAACTAACGGTCAGCTTTCAGAATGGAAAGAGGTAAACAGTGATGCCCATGACCCCCAGGGGTCTGTCTCGGGGCCAATGCTGTTCAACATGTTTGTAGAAGATCTGGAAAAAGTGATGTACAGTGAGGTGGCAGAGTGTGCAGGTGATTCAAGATCGGTCCAGAGCAGACTGAAGAGTTACAAGTTAAAATCTCACAGCTAGGTGACTGAGTACCAGAATGGCAGGAAATGCAAATAATGCACCTTGGGAAGCATAATCCCAGCTATGCATAGAAAATGAGGGGTCTACATTAGTTCTTACACCTCAAGAAAAATGTCTTTAGCCGTTGTGATACTTCTCTGAACAATGTGCTCATCGTGCAGCGACAGTCACAGAGGCTAACGATGACAGGAACCAGTAGGAAAGAGACGAATAGCAAACCAAAGCCTACCTTACTGGCACTAGAGAAGCCCATGGCGTGCCAGCACCTTGAATGCTGTGTGCAGTTCTGGCCGCCCCATCTCAAAACAGAGTTGGCAAAGGGTTAGAGCAGGTCAGCTCCCGGAGGACAGGTTCAGCAATGGAGATTAGCCAAGGTGGCCAGGAATGCAGCCCCATGCGTTGGGCGCCCCTAAGCCTCTGCCTGCCTGACTCCGGGACTGGCCAGCAGGAGAAGGGTCACGTGCAGATTGCCCTGGTCATTTCCTTGGAAGCTGTCAGAACACCGGGTACTGAGCTAGCAACGCTGGTCTGGCTCTGCTGGCCATCCATGTGTACAAGCTCTTGGGGTCAGTGCAGCGTGAAATTCAGTGCCCTGTGGCATACAAAAGGTCAGGCTGGGACAGCTCATCGGGGCCCCCGACCCAGCACCCCCGTCCGGAGCCAGATGTGACTCCTCCAGCCAGTAGAACAGGAGGGTTTATTGCTTCTCAGAGATCCAGCCCAGCCCGGGTTCGATGTGCACATCGGAGTGAGGGGCAGGCAGCCTCAGAGCCCTTGGGGCGGGGGGACAGGCCCCCGGACC